GTCAATAAAATTGGTATCAAACTGTAGATTATAATTCAAGTTTTAGAACTATACATTACTCAATTTGTTAATTTAAAAAGTAAATATTAAAAAACACAGATGAACATCGATTTTTGTATGACACGTGGTATGCTGAATGCAGCACTGGTTCAAATTAGATGTTTGTGAAGTCAAAATACTAAGTCTATAGTTTCATACAGATTAGAAACTCAAATTACAGATATTGACAAGCTAGAATATAAAATAAGGTTTTATCTTTTCTATTTGCTAAGATATTGCTCACCTAATAAATCAAACAAGTGGCACCCTGCTCATCTCTTACCATTTTTGGAAATGGTCTCTTATATACACTTACTTCTATATATGACATGAATAACCAATTGAAAGTTCAGAAAGTCCCCTAGTACTTTTCTCAGCCTTTCTAATGTACTTAGTACTATTTCTTTCTTTTGAATCAATATTTCAATGGGTAGGTTGTGCCTTTAGACTGCTCATAATTTCATATTTTTTTAGATCCAAATACAGTTTGATAAATTATAGTATAATTCTGTGGTATTGATGTATTAATTTATGATTTTTTAGTTATTCAAAAGTATACATAAAACCTACAAAAAAAAATATATATATATTGTTTCATATCTTCCACGTGCAAAATGTTTTAGGAAAAAATAACTTTAAGAACTTATTTCAAAATAGCAATAATCTATATACATATATAATGTATAATAACTGAAATGTAACTGTACTTTACAAAATACTAGTTGACTAAAATACAGCCACGAAAAGTTACTTTGTACACACCAAAGGTCACCTTTATGTTATTTGATACGGTAACATGAGTGCACATGAGCCACATCGTTGTAACTTCTGTATTGCTAGCCAGGCACAGGTGAAAGGTCAATATAATAAAAATAATAAATATATATAAATGTATAATGTTAAGAGATTTAAGCTATTTGGTCTAAACATTTATGTTTTCGTGTTATAATTTGTGTTCATTCTAGAATGAAAGAGCATAGTTTATGTTTATTTCCTAATTTTTTTATAGTGGTTGCAAGATTGGTCAAATTTACTGAACCTGTACAGAGATTAATTACTGAAAATAACAGATAAAATATAAAGTTTTTTCTTAAGAAATGTTTGATAATTATCCAGACATTAT